AAGACATATAATTAATTTCATTTTAAACCTATTCTATAAACACAAACTAAAAATCCTATGCATGAAATTGCACAAATTGTTTATGTGTTCCAACATTTTTTGAGAGTTGAGTGAGAGGTTTTTGTAAAATAAAAAATGCATATGCGCTATTATGAACTCTATAATCAATTCAATGTGATCTAAATATTTTGCCTCTCTAGGATACACAATTGCTTCCATATTCCTTTGTCTGGAAGTTAGTTAAAAAAATGATTGAATCCAAATTGGGTGAAGTTTTTGCCAGACATTTCAATTCAAAGTACACAGGTCTTTCTTTTCCCATAATAGCCTGAAGGCTTCGTCTAGTACAAAATGCCAGAGCATATTAAAAGCTTCCAGTAGTTAAATTTAGGAAAGAGGATTTTATTAGGGATACAGAAACATTTCCTGTTAGCTGGAATACTGCAAGGCAAAGGAATGCTACCTATTTCTTCTCAAGCTTTTGAAATATTTGGGGTAAACTGATAAACACTACACTGTGGTTTGTTTCTCTGTAACATTCTGTAGGTCTGTAATCTTTAATAGAGATGCAAATGTTTGTGTATAGTGACATCATGGTCTTAAATTTTCCTGTATAGGTTTATACTGAAACTACAGTGGCACATGTCATCCATATTTTGATTGAATAATTTTATTGAAAACAATTTTTGGAGTATAAATGCCACTTGTTATTGCCTTACTGATCTGTATCTTTACCACAATACTACATGTATAAAATATAATTTGTTTTTTCACTTTTTTCATCTTATGTTGAGACTTATGGGGCAAAAATTTGACAATGGGATCCCACCTATATAGCCCCGCTATTAATGGGGAAACACTGGTCCTTTACTGGGTGTCATGAGATCACAGCATTCTATATGCCATTGCCAATATTAATCAATACAGATGAGGTGCAACTAAAATTAATATTGTAAAAATATTAAATTATGTTGTAATACAGGGAGTACTTGGGTTTAGCCAGTAATTGAAAATATCAGGTTCAACATTGGTGATTTTACCTTTGGATATTTCATGGTAAAGTACAGTATATTCAGTAGTGAAATCTGTCTCTTGCCCCTCATCTGAAAGTATGACATCACATTCTAGCAATCTGAAAACCACCAATTGTAAATGATAAAGTTCATAATTTATAGATTTACCTCTTTAAAAAAATGTAATTATTAAATGGGGAAAATACATAACCACACAAACACAAAACTAAAACAACTGAAGGAAAGTGGCATAAAGACTTCCCTTTATTTAATGTGACTAACCCAATTGACTTGTGAAATGGTTGTAATAGCAGCTTGGATGTTCACTTATATTGCTTTCAGTTCCTGGTTTGGTTCCTGGTTCCGTCCTGGCTCCTCTCCTCTCACTGACAGCAAAAGTCTGATGTATGTGAGCGCATTGGACAGGGATCAGGCTCTCATTGTGTTGTGTCCACTGCAGCCGCTGCCTGACTCGTACAGATAACAGGCTCACCTCACATACTCCGACCATTAAAGCTCACGAGACTATGGTTAACTATGTAAACAGAGCTGTGTGAGTGTGCTTACAGACAAGAACAAATATAGCGTGATTGGACTTTGTCAGAATAGTTTGAGGAGGAATTAAAATGGCTGTTTAATGATTGTGACATTTAATAGAATATGATGAGCTTTTCTAAATAACCTTTGTCCTGTTCTTGATTGTCTGATTGGTAGAAAATTAATTTTGAATTTTGTGTCTAGATTTATACATATCTTAATCGTATTTCTGCTGAAAACTTCTTGGACCAATGAGGTATTTGTACAATTATGAAGTAGGTGTGGGCATATTGTTCATAATAAAAATGCTGCAAAAAGAGCTAATTAATAATTGACATATATGCTATATATACTTATGTTAGTCTTTTTAATAGTAATTTCACATTTGTCTGAATCTCAACAAATAAATAAAGAAGGCTTTAAAATATTCTGTTGAGTTGATAAAATATCTTCATCGGAATACTCAAAAGAAAAAAAAGTCAATATTGTCCGCCTCCACCCCATTACAAAAATCAATCGGCTTATTTTGTAAACTCAGATGCTGTCTTTCTCTATTTCTCTATTTGACCAAAGAGAGGATAATTCTCCTGGATTAACAACCCCTAATCCCAGAAATCTTCATTTGATCAAAAGTGACTTTGTACAACTTGTTAGTACAGTCTCATCATTAGTGATTAAAATATAAGTCAGACTTGAATGCCACAATCTCTCATCCCTGACATGTCTGGACTGTACTGGCGTGGCAGGACCCAGGTTTTCAGTGATGGATGCACCGCTCACTTTGAGTTTGGATCAGCAACTTTTAATTGGCGCTTGGCTTTTTAGTGCCTCTTAATCTCCTGCCAAAACCCAAAAGACTACTTGAAGAGTTTTTAGTCAAATTCTTTATACTGCTAGGGCACATTGTCAAATCTGTACTTTCACTTTTAGTTAAGCATCAGTGGTTCCTGTCCATATGTTATAATACATACTCAAATACTATTAGTAGATCTTTATTCACATTGGCACACACCTGGTTCTAGCATGATGGGTGGGCAGACACAAAATGAATGAACTGGGTAACAGGTTGGTTTGGGCGGGCAAGAATTTCCTGTGTCTATAGCTAGAGCTGGCCTTGCATTGGCTTATGTGAGATATTTTAACACTGTAGCTGGCCAGTTGCATGTGGATAAAGATGGATGGCATTTGGGCTTCTGAATGTCTCCTAATAAATATTTATGGGATGGTGATTATGCTTTAACTGTCTGCCACCCCCTCTTTACACTATGGAGCAAAATGGTGTTGACTTGTAAATAACTGGAAGTGATTTGAACAAGCAATGGCAATAGGATACATTTCACACGGTGCCCTATTTTAAGGTAATACTATTTATGTATTTTTTTTAATTAAAGGTGCTATGTAATGCCATGTTTAACCCATATTGTTGTAACCTCCACAAAAGCATAAAATTCCTTTGCTTAAATGCATGGTTTTATAGTAGCAACAGTTTATGAACATTGGAAACTACATATCCCACGATTCATTTCAGTGCAGACAACATGAAGATATGTTTTTTACTTGAATTCTTGGGATTATGATGGAAATAATTTCACACCAAAATCTTGTCAAGGTATTTTAAAAGCAAAAAAGTGTCTCCTCTACAATTATATTAGCCTTTTCAGAATATCGCAATAAATATTGTATCATGAGATGCATATTGTGATAATATCGTTCCAAGAGATTTGGATATCGTTACATCCCTAGTCTGTCTATATCTCCAAAGCTCAAAATGCTTTGTTCAACCTTCTGATGTCATGAAGCAGTAATTTTCAAGTTAACAGCCACCTTTTACCTTTTGTTTAGTAGAGATTGTTAATTCAAGGTCTGAAATTATCTAAGTGATTCTAGTGAAGGTAAGTGTAAGGTGTTTAAAAACACTGTGTATTGCCACATGACATCACAAGACGGAAGTGAGTGTTTTCTGTTTGAGAGAAAAACTCATCTTAAATATGCAGAGTTTGAGCGTTAAACATGTGTGATTGGAATGAAACAAAACACAGCTCCGGGTATGTTTGACAGAGGAAACACAGATCAGAAAATAGCATAACATTGGCCCTTTAATTTGTGAAAATCGTAGAATTCCTCAATAACCAACCCATGCTTGTTTTGTTAACCTTATTGGCCATATCTGTGTATTGTAGCTGTTTGGAGCTACTGTACACTATTTTTGTGTTATTATTTTACATTTAACCAGCCTTTTGTTCATCAGTTTCTAAAGTAGTAGTATTAATTACAATGCCAAAACAGCAGACCAGGTCTTTATTGAATTTCAGTGGCTTCTTGTGAGTTTGTAGAAGTCTTTTGTCTCCTACAGCCTCCAACTATTCTAAAGCATTTTTTTTATGAATTGCCCTATAGCAGAGAACATTTGCTGTAACATATTAATTATTTTCAATTTACCCTCTTAAGCAATAATCTTCATTCTGGGATTATTATTCTGATAGAAGTTCCCCTGAAGCACTGGTCCCTGGTTGCTTTGCTGGTGCTGATGTGGTGACAAACATCTGTTCACATCTGGCTCTGAATCCTCCTCCTTCAGGCCTAAACAGACGAAAGCTGTGGGAACGGTTTGATGCAAAAGAATGAGCATCCTTAATTTCTTTGATTTTACTTCCATTTAAACTGCCGTCTACAAAACTCAGTTGTATATGACCAATAAGAGTTAAATGGGTCTCGTAATTTGTCTACTCTATTGCATTCTCAACACTACTTTGTAACAATAAAGAATAAAGATGGAAGCAAAATGGTTGAAGCAAAATGAAGTAATTTCAATTCAGTCTGTTCTCTAAAAAGTAAACTTACATGTTAAGTGCTTTTATATTATCTATTTTTGTCCTTTTAACTCAACCCAGAGGTGCCCAGACTTTTGTCACAGAGGGTGGCATATTGAAACTGAACCCTTCATAAAGTTTGATTTCATAACAGTTATAATAATGTATCATTTAAAGTTATAGTTCTCACAATAACCTTAACTATAAAATTTGACCTTGTGACATTAGGATTACACTCAGAATGCAGTTTTTATTACTGTAATGCCTTGGCTTTATAACAGAAAAACAGCTGTCTAAGTTTGGGGTGAGGATGCATTTTTTTATGTATTTTTATTTTAACATCTGTAATCATTTTAATGAGAAAGCCTTACATTCACTTTCATATATAAATTGTGGTTAGCAGTTAGCATTTTGCAACCCTATCCTCACCGGCCTTGTCTTATATCAAAGTCAGGAAATATGTCCTCACCCCTGTGTTGTCAGACTCTGCAGCAGCTTTGTGAAATTTCCCTGCGGCTCAACATTAGCATTTAGTTGATGTTGCTTATAATCCCCCCAGCCTTTACTTAACCTTTGCTGGTGCTAATAGCAAGCAGTTGATTAATAAATGTCTCTTTTTCTTTTGTTCTGTTCTCAGGGGGCTCAGCCATGAACAAGCTACGGCAGAGTTTCCGCCGGAAGAAAGATGTGTACGTTCCCGAATCGAGCCGACCGCACCAATGGCAGACGGATGAGGAGGCGGTCCGCAGTGGAAAGTGCAGTTTCGCCGTCAAGGTGACTCCCCTCTTTTCAGTCCATCCCCACAGACACAGACTACAATACACACTTAGAACTGCACACAGAAAGTTACAGCATCCCCAAGGACAGTCCATGTGATTAATCATAGGCGTTCCAGCAGTGAGCACAGCTTTCATCAGGGGTGCAAGCTAATTTGTGAGAGGCGTGTGCACTGTGTTTTCTGCCCTCTGAGACTGTGAGAGTATTGATAGAAATTAATGCAGTGTATAAAAATGAAGTATTTTTCTATAGTGACACAAAAGTTACTTTACTTCATAATCTGTGATAAACAGTAGCTAAAACTAGACCTCCCCTGATAATTACTATATCAACTTATCATTCAATATTTGAAAGCTAGAAAAATATATTTTGGGGCTCAATATTTATAGTGTATACAATTTCTTTGCAAAAATGGTGAGATTTGCGCTATTTATACAAATAAATTTGAACTGTAGAAAGTAGAGTCAGTCACTTCTCTGGCTAATTATTGACTCATTCTGTTATTTATCTGTTGCAGACCATGCCTTTATAATACATGCATTATACTGTATATTTTAAAAATGGTTTACAGGGATTATATTGCCTTATTATTATTGAGTCAGTACCATAAAGTAGTTTGACAGCATAAGTTTTGGAGCAATAGATTGTGTTTCAAAACGTGTTATCGTGACAGGCCTAGCTAAAATGTTTTTGTCAGTGTTGTCTCACCTTTTCCATTTCTTTTATAAAAAAAATAGATCTAATTGACAAATGTATTGATTAAAAATAAAAGATTTTCAAATGTCATGCTGCTTCTATATTATATTTTCTAGTGTATCAGCTATTGGCCTTAAATCTCCAGCAGTTTGATATTTTGTTGTGGTCAATCTGCTGAATTAAAATCTGCACAAAGTTTTATTTTAACACTTTAATACTAGAACACTGCTTAAAATGTGTCTCTTATGGGTTTGTGGCAAAAATAAGGCTGTGGGTAAATTTAATTTGCATAATTTGAAGAAAATAATAAAAAAATCAGACCAAAATATATATCAGTAGAGGTTATCAGCCATTACTTGCTCTGGATTGTAAACAAGCAGTATCGGCATGTGTTATGAAAAAGCCTAAACCGTCAATGTCTGCTTTACTTTTCACTTGTCTCCATGCACCGGGATCCATGTGTTTCAAGGTATTATTAAAAAAATTTACATTTAATTGATTTGTTTAATGCCATACTGAGGGACATCCAAGCAAAGCAATCACCTGTCTATGAAATGCAGTGTGTGAGTAAGCTACAACAAACTACTACATTTCCATATTTCACCATTCACAAAAACTCATATTTACACGGGACCACTGCTGTAGTGTATTTATTTATAGTGGCTTACTGCAGAGCTCAGAGACGCAGCTCATAAGACTGGGAGCATCCAAAGGCAAAGTGCTGTAATTCGCAGGAACGGCCGACCTGCTGTGTGAGTAATGGACTGGGTGCTTCACACTATTTAGTCAACAAAAACCTCTCTCTTTGCAAACACTGGCTCCACGGTACACTTCCTACGAGCACTCCAGTGTCACCTCGGCAACACAAGTCAAAACTGCACAGATGAACTGAAATTGTTGCCAGATAGTCGCCCTGCGTGTTCGAGCATTCACCTAAAAAGAGAAGAATGAACTGAAATTGTCTTGACAATGCTAAAGAAGAACTGATTCTGAACTTTGATATTTCTGCTCTCGGATAATGAATTCATTTGTAAGGTCCATGTGACTTGATGCGTAGGTTTCGTGTTAAAGGTGCATTGTGTAACTTCTCTGTGCCAGTGAAATGCTTTTCTTCATAGAGATGTTATTGCTTTGTCTGGAACGTTTTCACAGTACGGTTTGGATCAGTTCAGATCTGTGGAGAAGCAACTCCACTGTCACAAAGCTTGTTTTTCTAGGTATTTGTGAGCTATAAAACCCCCTGTAATTGAATAAATGTAAGGTAGAGCTGTTTCATGTCATACTGTGGGACATTCTATGCAGAGCAATGACACATCGATAGAAACAAGCAGGTGATGGACCAAAAAGTTACACAGTGCACCTTGTAAGATTACTGTCTTTTCAAACTACACAGTACTATATGCATCTTTTTTGCTTTTTATGTTCCATCACCCATTCTTTCATTAAGGCTAGCAAAAACTATTCTTGGTAAACTAAACAATATCTCAATAGGTGGACTGCTGTTGTAATTGTCTGATATTTATATGATAATTATTAAATACTTTTATTTTATTACTTTTACTTACACTCTATGTAGCTTGTATCGGACATCTGCCTCCAATGATATCTTTGATTTGCTACCCTATTGATACTTGCAGTGGCAACACCCTGGGGGTGTTCTATGATGTATTTCTATCGGCAGAATGTTTGAGTGACTATCTGAAAAAGTCTTGACTTGGCTAGCTAACTTGTGACTATAATTTTATGTGTTAGAGACAAAAGCACAAATTATCTCACCTTTAGTTCATAAGTCTAACTTGAGTAACTGAGCTTCTGACAGAGTAGTGCCTTCAGTTAGCTTCACAGCCCCAGTGAATGAGTGAATGTTGATGGCATCAGCTGCAAAAGCATCAATTGTGGATCTAGTGTCTGCTTCAGTCATACAGTTTTCCTACACGCTTCAGCTTCCTACTTTGTGCTGGTGCAACCAAACCTGCTGCTCTCTCTCGCTCTCTCGCTCTCTCACTCTCTCACTCTCTCGCTCTCTCACGCTCTCTCACTCTCCCTCACGCACTCTTTCTCGCTCTCTCGGTTTCTCTCTCCATCTCTCACGCTCTCTCTCGTTCTCTCTCGCTCTCTCTCCCTCCTTCTCTCCTTCTCGCGCTCTCTCCCTCCCTCTCTTCCTCCCTCTCGCTCTCCCTCCCTCTCTCCCTCCTTCTCTCTTTCTCTCTCTCTCCCTCTCTCTCTCCTGGCTTGCTGGCTGCCTGACAGCGCTTGCTGCTGGTGCTGTGGCTTGTTGCGGCTGGAGCTAAATGATGGGAGGAGAGGCAAGGAGCACAGTCAAAAAACGTGTGGGAAAAGAAGCAGGCATTCGGGGCCATGCTTTTCACACAGAGTCAATGGAGCTCTGAGTGGCGTTGCTTGGAGCTGTCCACTTCCACAAACTGGGCTTTTGTTTGGGCTTGTTAAGTAACATTAGTGTTCATTTGCATGCACTCGTCATCTGATCACGGAACAAATACAAGCTGTAAAGTGAGATAATTGATATAAGATGTTCAGTTTGAATATATTTAAGCACATGAGTATGAAATGCAAGATGGACAGATAAAGCTGCTACTCCTCCATGTCGAGAGGAGTCAGCTGAGATGGCCTGGGCATCTGTTCCTGATGCCTCCTGCGCGCCTCCCTCGGGAGGTGTTCTGGGCATGTCCCATCGGTAGGAGGCACCAGGGAAGACCCAGGATACGCTGGAGGGACTATGTCTCTCGGCTGGCCTGGGAACACCTCGGCGTCCCCCCGGAGGAGCTGGAGGAAGTGTTTGGGGGTGAAGGAAGTCTGGGAGTCCCTGCTTAGACTGCTGAACCATGACCCAGCCCTGAATAAGCACAATGAAATGGATTAAAGGACAATAGTTCACACATTACTGTATATTATAACAACAAAGAGCAAAAATGTTAATAATAAACTGAAAATAAATAAAATGAGGGTAATTATGTAAATGTAATGTGTACAAGTAAAAATAAAATATATACAAATATATCAAATTAAGGCCTTAAAAAGTCTTAAATTATGTTGTCTTATTTTTTTCACAAAGGTCTTAAATTTCATTAGCCTATTTTTAGCAATGTTAAATGGAGGGAGAGGAAAAAAAAACAACAATGTGAAATCACGTAACGTGAATGAACGTCTAATTTGGAGTATGCACAAACAATACTTTGGTTTCTGGCGCCGGCGGCAATGTGTAAACAATTAGTACAGTGGAGGAAGACGTTGGATGGATCATGGAGAAGTGTAGGTTTTATCCACAGTGGCTCTTAGATTCTAGATGTAGTAGTTGGTTGGTTTTTATTAGAATTGGATCGGTGTTTTTCGCCCGCATAATGGGTATGATATTAGTCTTAATTTTTATTTAAGTGGCCTTTAAAAATGTCTTTAAAAGTCTTAAATTTGGAGTAGTCAAACCTGGGGATACCCTGTACATCTCTCAGATGTATACAAGAGGTCAATCTAGCTGCTTGTAATTCATGAAGATGTTATTTGCCAGGAATGTTCCACTCTATTACATTAAACTGATTGCCATAGAGAAAAGCAGATGGAACTACCAGGGCAACTTACTATTGAAATCTTTGAAAACTTGCTCCTGGCAAACCAATAATGTAACCATGGACAGTACAGTGTACCCTTCAGAAAGGAGCAAATGTTTTTGATAATTTGACATACCACATAAAAGTTACTTGAAAACTACTATGCATCCTGAAAACAATATTTTGGCCTGTTAAACTGGTTCTGTGCTTTGCTAATTGGTATTCAAGATGACTCATTCCAAAAAAATATATAATGGAAGGAAAAAGCTTGTGTTTTACATATATGTTGCATAATTTACAGACTGTGCAATCTTCATACGTAGTTTACTTTGTTTGATTCAATTAAAGCTCACTTTGCATACGACCCTAACTGAGGTGAGGAAATCAGAGGATGTGTAGCTCCTCAATTTGTAATGCACCAAAGCTTTAGTGACTGTTTTTGTTGTGAGTAGATTTACATACTCATTCATATGAAAATCGATTTGCGCTAATGCATGGTTTGCTGCAGATTGATTCCACACACTTGCTACTCGAAGAGGATCTTGAATATGTAGCTGTGTTCATTTTTCCCAGACATATTTCTCTGCGATGCTATGAATTAATTCCTCAAATCCCTCAGGATTACACCCAGTCTGCCGTCGTGAAGCCAGCTCCTATGAATGGGTAATGACATGATTTTGAAAATGTGCTTACTAAAAATGCTATCATTAACTCACATAAGCAATGAGATATTACCTATAGGATATTACTTTGCCTGGAATGTTCTGGAATAAAGCATTAAATTTATCCTTCTCTGTGGAGACAAGTAGTTGACAGCGGGTCTTTACACTTGTATATGAATGTACATGGTGGAAGCCCTCCACCAGAAAAGTTATTTGAAGTTACTTTAATTTAACCAATACTTCCCTCACAAATAAAATGACCAAAAGAAATCTTACATATTTCTCGCATTTGTTTCGGAATTTGGAGCACTTTTTTAGGTTCAATATTACAACTTATTAAAAGTAATAATTCTCATATATTATACTTGCCCTAAGCCTGTACTTTAGTCACAGCCTTGAAAACTCCTGCCACCTCATTATGATTTTCCCTGGTCACTTGTGCTTGCGTAAATCCCTTGTATTTCTATGCACGTCTCTGTAGTCTGTTACACGCTTGCAGCTCTGGTTCACGACTTTGGTGCTGTGACTCATCTGTGACATCACACTCTGAGAATAGCAGGGGCCCGAGGGTGGGGGGCGAGGGTGGGGTTATCTATGGCGGCTCCTGTGTTGTATCTGTAGGAAAAGGGTAAGGACTTCCTCCCCACACTGTTCATACAATGGTCCCGGGACAGTCGGGGTCGTAGAAACACAGGCTAAAGGAGGAGGGAGGCTTTCCTCAAACTCACTTGTAAGTAGTCAGGTCATATTGGACTGGTTGTTTAGGCATAACAGAGATGGGTGGCGTAGCTAAGTTATAATTTGTCATATTTTTTTTCCTGACCCGCCAGTGCTCTCTACATTCTGTTCAAATGCAGAAGGGACTGGACTTGGACAAGAGGGTGAAAATCCTCCATCCAAACTTGAGATTGTCCAATCATAGCTGCTAATTTGTAGCATATCTTCTCATATAATTCAGAACAATATATATATATAACTTCTGAAATAAGTAATTGTTTGTTTCTGCAAAAATCCATGCTCATTCTTAGTCCTTTTTTTCTCCTTATTTGTAAATTGCCATTTGTTTTTATGAGTGTAAGGGGGCCCAAAAAAAATAAAAATAAAAAGTATTGAGGCATTGTGTTGGCATTTGTGCTTTTAATGATGACAAAATTTAAAATAAGCCTTGACAGTCAGAATTTTTTTTCAAGAGTAACCAAAACTGTTACTTCAACTACAAATAAGTAAGATGTGAAAAAGTGTCATTTCTTTGTCATGAATATTTTGAACATTTGAAAATTTTCCTTACGAGGTGTTGATTGGACTTCCATCTGCACTCACATCCACAACTCCTGAAATCTGTTCTAACATTGGTTCTTATTTGATCATTTTTGCTGTGATAATTAGGGATGCACCGATCCAGTTTTTTCCAGTTCAGATTTTGATACTGTAGCCACCTGATATTAACCGATACAGCATTTGTATGAAAAGTTCAAACATTAAAAGTTATCCCCAGTGATAATATTTTTCATTGTTTATCATTGTACCTCAAAGTTATCATGGGAATTCTGCTTAGTCACAATCATCTGGTACAAATTATATCCATACCAAAACACAATTCAATTCCTCATGGTCGTGTTGTCGGCTGGATTGTAAATTATGGTGCAATTTTCAATAAAGGGGAAGCGTCATCTGTAAAATCCCTGTTTGTTTAGAGCCACCACCTGCTTCACCTGAACATGTCTAATGAGGCTCTCTGCTCTCAGCTGGATCCAACACCGGTTTAATACATCAAACACAGCACTGGGCTAACAAATGCTTTTCCTCCTGCATTTAGCTATTTGTTACACAGGAAATACAGCCGCGTAGAAAACAATGCAATTTCTATAAAGGAAATCTGAAGGGTAAATGTTTTTGACAGTGTTTCTTAGGGTTTGATAGATTGGTATTCCTACTTTTCCATAGGAGGTTTTGGTTGGCTCTTGACTGTCTCTCTGTTGTGTCCTTTGTGTCCTGCAATTATTGTGGAGTTATTCATATAAGTAATATTTTAATTTCCTGCTATGAACCTGGTGTTCTGTGTCCTTTTATAATGTTTGACTTCATAAATGATTTGTTTGTAAAAGTCAGTTGTATTTTGGCTTTAAGTTTGAGCTCTGCAACAGTTGGTGTTGTGGAAATATTGCATATATATATATATATATATATATATATATATATATATATATATATATATGCACTTTTCTGCACTTTTCGGGGGGAAAAAAAAAAAAAAAAGTCCAGAAAAGTGCAGTACTGGGAACAGCAAAGATACTGCGCAGAACTCTCAAGTTCCCAGGCCTCTGGTAGAGGACCCGAGCTGAATGAGGGTGAGAGAGACCTACCACCGTGGAAGGTGAGAAACACATTTATATATATATATATATATATGTATATATATATATGTATATATATATATATATATATATATATATATATATATATACTATATATATATATGCTATATATATATATATGCTATATATATATATGCTATATATATATATATGCTATATATATATATATATATATATATATATATATATATATATATATAGCTATATATATATATATATATATATATATATATATATATATATATATATATATATATATATATATATATGCTATATATATATATATATATATATATATATGCTATATATATATATATATATATATATATATATATATATATATATATATATATATATATGCTATATATATATATATATATATAATCTTAATGATGAATAATAATCCATTTATGAAGCCTGGTGTGAGTTTATGGAATACAGGAAAAGGGTTTATTATTTGTTACAGCAGACAGGACAGGGCCTAGGCCTGCCCTGGCCAGAGACCAACAGCCTCTCCCCAGTCCCTTCTCAGAGTATGCTCTGGGTGTCTTCCCCAAGTCTACAAAAATAATAGCATTATACTAGTTTATTATGTACGGACCTCTGGTTTTGTCATATCTAACAGTTTCAGCTGCCTTTTGTTTCTCAACACTTTGTCCTAACCACTGTCACTTACAAGTTGTATACGTTCTTGTTTCTTTAAATTAATATGTTGGTCAATACCCCACAGTCTACTTCCAAATGAACCTCTAAATGCTAATTGGTTTATTTATGTTCTTCTTAATCTTTTTTCGACGTGTTAATGTCTTCAGAGGAAAGATGGCCAGCGGACACTATTAGCCTCACATTACTGACACCTTATCTGATGTTTGTGCCTTGCAGTACCTGGGACATGTGGAGGTGGAGGAGTCCAGAGGCATGCACATCTGTGAAGACGCAGTGAAGCGCCTCAAAACGGTAGGTCCCACTAGAAACCCCCTCCCCCCTCCTCCGTCTGTAGCAGGAACTCCCGTTGTCTCAGTATTTTCTGTTTTTCTTTTACACTAACATCAAAAGTCTAACATCTATCACATCAGGTTGTAGCGTTTTGTTCTTTGTAGTGATTTTCTCTCTCTATTCACGTCTCTTCTCTATCTGATGGATTTTGCTATCGTAGCTAGGACAGTGGGCGATGGAGCCCTGGAAAAGTGATTGGGAAAGCCTTATTGCTATTGACTCCACCTCAAAGGCATTCATTTTATTCAGTTACATTCTTTCTGATCCTCCTTTGGATGTCAGATTGCAGTCCTACCCACAGCTTGAAAGACACTTCAAAGCCATGTTTGAAGAGTAAAGGGTCATGTTATTTTTATATAGACATTGACTGTATAGCCAGGAGAACCACTACAATCAGTTTAGAAGGGCTTTAGGTTCTGCAGTATTTTATTAGATGTGACACCCTAAAAGCTCGGTCCAGGGGCGGGACTAAGATTGTATTGCAACCATGGCAACCCACACAACTGTGTTTCCATATTCGCTTGTGCTGCCAAGGCTAAACAAGACAAAGCAAATTTAGACCTAAAATTCTACCAAAAACACATCCAGTATTTCTTTTATCCGTTGATGGATCTGGGGCGTTTTTCCCCATACAGTTATGCCAAACCATAATTACTTTTTGTTGATTGTAATTATGCTCACAAATAATGATTTTATTGATATATATTTTCAAAATCAGGTTTAAGTTACGGTTAGGATCAGGGTTAGGTTTAAGAACAGTTAAGTTTAGAGTTTGGAAATAGGTCTATTAATAGGCCTTGGCAAAACTGAGCTGTATTTATAGACAATTTTTTATAGAAAATTATACATAAAGATAGTTAACTGTATTTAACTGATCATAAATATACTGTCAACATCACTGAGACATAACATTTGCTGTAATCAATCTGAATTTATGAAATTAACAGCACACAGCAGTTGGTTGGTTTTGATTGACATGGAACACTAAGCCCCGTCCCCGCTCTGGAGTGAGCCTTGACACATTTATTCATCATTGTCTTTTGTTTATTTTGACAATTTTTCTGATAAATTCTTGATCCCCACAATAAGGTTAGAACTAAACTAGATCTTGGTATACTTCACCTAAAACAATTTGCCTTTCAAAATAATGTTAGCAGTTTTACATACTGTAGCTACTACTACTACTGCTACTACTACTGCTGCTACTACTACTTGTCTAACAAGGTTCATTTGGTCTTCCAGTAATGTATTTTGTTGGATTATTTTTTTCAAACTTTAAATGTTGTTGATGCTGCTATTACTGCTGCTACTACTTCTACTACTACTACTACTACTACTACTACTACAACTACTACAACTACTACAACTACTACAACTACTACTACTACTACAACTACTACTACTACTACTACTACTACTACTGCCACAGGCTATTATTACTACTACTACTACTGCCGCTACTATTACTACAACCACAACCACCACTTCTACTACCACCAAAACTACTACCACTAGCACTCTAAGCCAGTTGCTATACAGCCAATCTTTACTTTGTTGAGCCTCATGAAATGTTTTAATGATGCTCATTACCTCAAGACACTACATGGCAACACTGGTTCGTTCCACTTTCATGATACTGTCTATGGCCTGCACCATGGACTTCCTCAGACCACCTCTTGGAGGCGGGGCATTGTTATACACTTTTCTTCCTTCCTTTGCCACTCCTTGTAACACCCTTTGCCGGAGAAGACAGGCCGACATGTACTTCCTGCTGCTGTCGGTTCCTGAAGAGTTACGCAAAGAAACAAATTCCAGGTTCAAGGGGGAAGTTTGTTTGGGAGGGAGATGAGTTTTCCATTCAGAGAGCCGTGAACCAGGGCTCCACCCAGGCCAAGCTCCTCTCAGTCTGACTCAACAATAGGATAGTGCTTTAAGCAGTTTAGACAATTTCACAGATGTTCTTAGTTTTGGGTTTGGTCACTTTCAGCCTTGATATAACCCTTAAGATTGGTGCAGAGTCGACAAGACAAAGCTTTAGTGTCGTTTTTGTTTAGTTTCTGTATTCATTTGAAATTTCTTGCTCTGTTTGCATTAAAGCACAAAGCACATTAAACAAAGAGTACGTATAAATACTGGGAATATTGAGAACGCTTTTAAAAGAAATGTTTTTCCTGAATAAAATGTGGATATCTATAGAGCTCATAAAGCAGATGTGCAATTAATTAGGGAATGATTTTTCACTTGTCACTATGATACAATTTCAGGTAGTGGGTCGATATAACTAATTTCTTTAACTTATTAAAGTGCTAACTCTGCACGGAGGAGCTTTAAAACTCCTAGAATGTTAAATTGATTCTTTAAACCATGTTACTATGCTGTTACCTCATCAAAACGATACCTGGGTTTGTTTCATTCACATGTTTGAGTTACCCTTTATTATTAGTCTGTCTACATCTTCAAAGCTCAAAATGCTCTGTTCCACCTTGTGATGTCATGTAGCTGTATTTTTCAAGTTAACTGCTACCTTTTGTTTCATAGAGTTTGACTTTTCCAAGGTTAAATCATCCAAATGATTCTAAAGAAGGTGTATGCAAAACTGCGTAATATAGACTCTTTAATGCTATGCTATGTATTTAGAAAACAGCTAGGTTAGATTATCCCGCTTTAGGGTTATTTTGTCAGTAGCATAGGCAGTGATCGGAATTGTTGTTGCCTTTATTTCCTGCCTGCTACGTGCATCACAGTACCGGACACGCGCGTGTCTGCTGTTGTAGTTTTTTTGGGCATAACGTCAGTGCTCCTGGGAACACATCCAATTTCAGGTTACAAAAGACTTTGAGCCAATGACACATCAGGGTGACTCAGACCTGATTGAGAATCCACTCCAACCTGCCTCCTCCACAGTGTTATCAATACCTCCTCACCCTGGTTCATTATTAAAGGAGAAGAGGGCATTTAGTCATTCACACGTCACTCTAGATGAGCTGCTAATGAGTTTGTCCATTTGATCTTTAAGACTTACAAAAGTATTTATGTGATTAGATAGACCTAGAACTTCAAAGCCTTGTCCATTATTTTTTTAAATCAATGTCTGCACAATTAATACATTGCAGCTGAAGTGTAGTAAAGCTAACTGTGAGCACTGCTCTTTCTGAAACTCTTTTACTCAAGTTTGTATTTTTTCTTGAATTTTCAGACAATCAAACCATCACCATGGTAACTAATAAACATTTTGACAATAGAGATACATGTAGAACACCCCCAGTGCGATGTCACTGCAAAATATCAATATTAATATTGATAGCTGGTCACGTCATTGACAGAATTATCCTTATGTATTAATCTTAAATATCCACTATGTTACTTTTCTGGTGGAGGTTCATCAACAGCTTGTCCCTAAGGAGATGTTCTTGCTTTGCCTGGAATGTTTCATAGTTTGGCATTAAACTTGAATATCTTGCATTTATTCAATTTAGAGGGGTTGCCTTCTCTCCAGTCTCCACAGATCTGACCTGGAACTTGGCCTGGTGGAGCCCTCTGCTTGTCTCCAAGGAGATGGATAGGTTTAATGCCATGCTTTTAATACTTCAAAGCAATAAAATCACTCAAGACAAGCTCATGGCTAACCCTCCACTAGAAAGTACTTTTTTAGATTTAATGTCGGTGTCAGTGTATAGCTCTAACATCCTTGAATTTCAAATGCAATCACATGCTTTCTACTCAAGAGCTGTAGGCTACGAGCATGTAACTTGCTGGTACAGTGCAGTGAAGGAAGCGGAGGTGGTCTTTGAAGATGGTCACATGGACAGACCAGAGCCAGGGGCAGAAGCTGTTATTGAGTTACTGTGTCTTTAGCAGGCAACCAGTCACAGCAGAGTCAAGGCAGAGGCGTGTGTGTCTGCTGCTGTCCGCCCACCCTGACCTGACCCAACCTAATGATATTTACTCCTCTGCTTCCTCTTGTTTGTGGCAATACAATTCAATTTAATACCTTATACCCTATACCCTTATGGAATGAATATATTTATGTTTGCGTGGGACCAGACTGTTTCGTTATACCTGAAACTTGTTTGACTAAAGCTAGATTTCAGTGTATTAGAGAAATTTAGAAATAGTAGGTTAATATGTATTTTCTAAGTTGAAACTAATGATTGTAAATACCTAATGGTTTGAGATGTGTGGTTGTATTGTACTTGTGTGTGGGTGTTGGGGTGTGTGTGGGGGTCAGAGAGTGGACAGTGTGAATTGATTTTTAGGCTGATTGAAAGTAATTGCGTTATATAATTCAATCTGGAAATCAGGGACTGCAGCTGGAAACTATAATCTCTGTTTTTATGAGTTTATTGTCTCTGTATTTTGTCCTTTCAAATAAAGACTAAACTAAACTGTACCACTGACAATTTGCACGGGAGATTTCACACTGTCAAATTGAAAAAAAAAAATTGCACTATGGCCAGAAATAAGCAAATAAGCTTTTATGGAGTATTGATACTTTACAGTAACATCATGCTGGGAGTTTTCTACATGTCTCAAATGGTAAAATGTTTAGGAGTTACCATGGTGACACAATGCACACATGGCAAACATGGTCAGACTTTTTTAAGATTGTCTGAAAACTTAAGAAAATATTCAGGAGCCAATGATCAATACAAGCATCCATAGTCCTGTTTAGTCCTGTTTTGTAATACTAACTATCTTGTGACTTTAATTTCACATGTGAGAGACTTGTTTAACAGCAATGTTCATCTCACCTGTTGTAGTTCCAGCTTAGTGAGTTCTTTGTGGTCAGATTGCGTTAAAATTAGATTAAAATTAAAGTCTGACAAAGCCTCAGACAGAGCTAAGCTTATGGTTAGCATCACACCCCCAGGGAATGTTAATGACATCAGCAAAGTGTCAATAGATTTTTTATTAATCTGTTAATCATTACATGTGTTTAGTTATAAATATCAAATATCCTG